TCACTGGCCTCAAGCTTCTGTACATTGTTCGGAGTACAAATAATTGAGGAAACCTTTGTGTATAGCCGCCTTTCTTACAGCTGCGATGGTTTGGTACGTTTTGCGAATGTTCGTAGGGAGGAAGGCAAGATAGCTTCTACCTGCCAAGTGGAATGGCAAATGACTCTTGGTAGGGTCCAGATTGTCTTGGTGAAGGTGTTTCGAAGTACTGCGCTCTAGACACAGGTTGTCTTCTGAGGATGCCGCAAAGCTGCAACAGAATCTGCAACGTTGGTGGCATTATCAGACGTATCTGTCTCCGCGATCCGAAAGAGGGTGGGGGTCATGGAAATATCGCTGAGTTGAAAATGCTCTGATAATATAGTACAAATCGTACTGTAAAGGAGCAAAAAGTTAGTTTATCAGCACACAATGTAATCTGGTAGCCTATCGGGTGATAATCGATATAGAAGTTTTCTCAAACTATTACATCTGTCTGAGCAAAGCGCATTCTGCAGACTAATCAAAGGAATATCTAACCTTTCTTCATATTAATTTAACTTAATGAAGAGCCTTGAGATGAAGGCAGTAACGTCGATATGGCTCCATCATTTAATAGAGCAGTAGATTAAGGTAGAGCATTATTAAGAAATTGTTATATAATGTTTCTCAACGTTTGCCGTTTGACGGAAGCTTGCAAATGCAAATCATGGGAACAGTGAACAAAATATTGCTTTGGGGGAACAAAACTGCACTAAAGCATTGATTTTCTTTATATAATGAAAGTAAGAAGTTCTCTTCTGTGCATTACTTAGAGGTAAATTACTCTGCCGGAACATTTTGTTTCCTTCACAATCGAAGTCTTATAAAGAAGTTAATTCAACCGATGTGGCTATCCAGTCGTAGTTCCTTAAAACCAGGTGGTATGTCTCTGCCGATGTTACTCAGCTTAAACAGGATGGCATCTGTGTTTGTCTATCGTCAAACATAATGGGTATTTGCAAACGCTTTATTCCTACCACCCCCCCCCTCCCCCCAACATTGGATTTAACAATGTACAATTGCACCGTTTTTTCG